AAGCACACATTCATGTATACATACAGATAATAAGTTGTAACCCTATGCTCACAAAACTCTTTCTCGTATCTCTACCCATACACCAAATACACACCACAGGCCTCTCGCTAGCAAACATGATGGCCAAACAACTACCTACCATGGCGGATATAGCATCACTTGCACGAGCGGGTATAGTAGCAGCAACCACTAAGAAGATCACCTGCGACATTGTAACACCTGGATTAACCTGTAGTGGCACGTTGAAGCTCACGTCCAGCGCCTTCTCTGTGACCGTGAATATGGACGACTTGCAGGTCGAGGGGGATTCCAAGTACATGGCATATATTGATAGGTAGGTTCAGTTCGTGTTGGTATGTCTATATATATATATATATATATATATCCAATTTAGGAGTATGATGAATTTTGGTGTATATAAATGAGTAGCAATCGCGTACCATGCGCTATGGGTTGCATCCAACGCCTTCTCTTGGATCGTGAATATCTGGATGATTTGCAAGTTGAGGGGGTTTCCAAGTGTTATCATAAACAGACACGTATTTTCAGTGCATCTATCCAGTATAAAGAGCAACTGGGATCCTACTTTCACACCAACTGGGATCCTACTTTCACACCCTCTAAACCCGAGCCTGATTATATTTCCTTATTTGATCATCTCTCAGTATTGGCGGCACCTGGCCCTACAACCTTGTGGAGGCGGTCTATCCACGCCGCCACATGCTACGCACCACAGCGGTGGAGATATTCCTGACCAATCAGAAGCCGCTAATGTTCGTCTTCTCCAATAGCGATGATTTGGCCACAGTCATTCGTGCCTTGCCTGCCAGTTGGTTGGGTATTGGTCGCAAGGGCTTTCTGGGCTTGCGCTCGGATTTGCGGTCGGCGCCGGAGATATTTGCCATTGCGGATATAACTAAAAGGTGTGTGTATGTGTGTATATATGTGCATTATTATATATATATATATATATGTGTGTGTGTGTGTGTATATATATATATATAAATGTATGTATGTATGTATGTGTGCGCACTGATATTTATATACATTGGCTACGCGTAAGCGCATTGATCGGAATACCACATATGTATTGCATATACTCAACTTGGTTTTTGTTACACACACATGCTTACCTACCTTATGTATGCAAAGTTCTTAACATACTCCCGGGCTTCCCATCGATTTCTCTACGCACAGGTGGCAACAACGGCAGATGACCAACTTCGAGTATCTCATGCGCATCAACACATTGTCTGGGCGTACGTACAACGATCTCAACCAGTATCCAGTGTTTCCCTGGGTACTTAGTAATTATACCTCAGAGATACTCGACCTGAGCGACCCAGCCAACTATCGGGACCTTTCTAAGCCTGTGGGCGCACTCAACGAAACACGCCTCAAGAGCTTTGTGGAGAGGTGCGATTGCGGCTGTTGGTGTATACCTGTATTTACGTAGGGGAATTATGCATAGGTAGTATATATATATATATATATATATATATATAGTGTGTGTGTGTGTGTATATAGTAAC